CTTTATGAATAAAATAAAATTGACTTTTTCCTTAAAAAAAATTCTATTGATTATTTTAGATTATAGGAAAACAAAAATTATTTCATTAGATAATTAATCAGCTAATGATGATCTTCTAGATAATTATCCAATCAAAGTAAAAAAAAAATGAAAGTGATATGTGTTTACTTATGGGTTATGGACTAATAGAATTTCCGTAATTTTTTAGTGTTCACAATAATCAAAAAGGAATTGAAAGGACTAATTATATGTGCACAACCATTGAGCCATATGTTGTAAACTTCTAATCCTGCAATTCAGGGGATGGAACCAGTCTCATCCTTTTGAGATGCTGGTGAGAAAGTAGTTTTCTCGTCCTTCCGATCTCTTCTCTAATCTCACACCCAATGGCTTCGATTCTAACTGCTAGTTGCTCTTTAATAGCTTGTTGTTGTTGTTGGAGTTTTTTTTTTTTTTTTCTGTTTATAAGTAATAAATTTAAATCTCCTCTCTAATTCCCTCGGTTCTCTTTGTGCTTCTTGAACTTTGGCTCTCCACGATCTGAAGTTCAAGGTTGATGATGATCGAATGGTCAGTGGTGGTGAAGAGAGCGGACAAAGGAAAAGGAATGGGTCACCATGAAGAACTGAGATCAGCAATCAAAATTTGAAACCCCCATATCAAATTCAAAAACCCACCTTCGAATTCAATTTAATTGCCTTCTGGATTGGAAGATGCAGAGAAATTGAAAATTGTATGATGGATTCTTTATCCTAGAGTTGGTCCAAGCTGCCTCCTCCTCCTTGCCTCCAAACTCTAATTACCACCCATAAAAACCGCTAGAAGGTATAGGGGTAGTTTCCTATAGTTTCGAATGGGAAAGAGCAAAAGGACATGTGGAGCAATCGACAATGGATATTGATGGAGTAACGGCAGCAAGAAAGTGGAAGGTAATGATAAAACGTCTTCGATGATTGTTATTTTGGACCAGCCAAGCCCATTAAAGCTGAAGTGATGAGATGATAAGAATTGATGATATGGTCGGAGTCTTTTTTATTTTCTTATTGTTTTATTTTTCATTTTCCTTTTCTTTTGGGCCGAGCCTTATTCAGTTTTGGGCAATTAAAAAAAGAATGAAATGGAATAACTGGACTGGGCCATAATGCCATGAAACTTTTTTTTTTATTTTAATTTGTAATAATTAATTAAATTGATTAATTAACTGGAGCATTTTTTCTTAGAAAAAATTTTTTTTGCAAGCATTATTTTAGCTAAGTAATAGTTTTGTTAAAAAATAAATAAATTTATTAACCGTCAGAATCCCCTTTTATTCTTTTTCTAGTCATAGACTTTATTTTGTTGTTTTTGGATTATGCCTCAATTTTCTTTAAACTTGTCTTTATTGAAATAAATTATTACTTAAAAAATATTGATGTAATTTATAATTAAATTTTTTTATCAAATCACCTTAAATTTTTGTTTAGAAATATAATAATTTAAATTTAACAGTTATAATTAACCTATCATTATATTTTTTAACAGTAATAGTTTACCCTAATTTGATAATAAATATATAAAAAAAAATTTAATATTTAAATAATTTCATAAAATATGCATGAAAAGGTTCAATATACCCGCGCCTAGTCTAGCGCTGTTCGAGCAGTTGCATAGGTGTGTTTCCCCAATTCAGCAGACCTTTTATCGGCAAATTTTGTTCGAGAAAAGCAATTATGGTTCCCCAAGAGTGGCTTGTTGAAGACGAGAGCGCCAAGGAGATTCTCGATAGGGTTCAGACGGAGCGGCCCTTCTTGCTTCTTCCTCTTCTTCATCGGGTTCCTCTGCGCGTCGGCAATGTCGTCGATATTGTTGGTCCTTCTCCTTCCGCCAAAACCCACATCTTGATTCCGGTAATCCTGCTTCAACTCTGATCCACCAGTTCTCTTTTCTTTTTACTTACATTAATCTAAGTGGGATTGTTCAAAATTGCAGGCTGCAATCAACTGCATCCTGCCTCAAGAGTCGGATGGCGTCAAGTATGGAGGACTCGGGCATTTAGTGATGTTCCTAGATTTGGATTGTCGCTTTGACATTTTACGGTTTTCGGAATTGCTCAAGCTTCGGATCTTGGAAGCCATAGGTAAACTTCTTGAGTTTTAATCTGTAAAGAATTGTTTGGTTAGAGGTGGTGGATACTCCTTAAAAACAAGCACTTCCATATGAAGCTAGGAATAGAAAAAGCAAAGCTTAATGTCTAACTTTCCAAGAATACCCATTTCTTAATCGTTCCCAAATTTATCTTATTTTTATAGTTTGATGAAAGAATAGCTATTACCTCCGACCAAACATGATGTAAGGATGTAGTAATCCTTTATAGCTCGTTTGGTTTTGATGGGAGTAGGATAAATGTTGCTATTTGAATAGCAAAAATTGAAGGGAAGGGAAGGGAAGGCAAGGGAGGGGAGTAGCTCCCCTTTAATTTTCTTTATTATAATTTTAGCATAACCAAACTAGGGAATGGGAGGGGAGCAAAACAGAGGGAAATGGAATGATATTGTCTTCCCTTCCCCTCCCCTCCCCTCCCCTCCCCTCCCTCCTTTCTTTTCCTCTCCCTCCTTTTCCCTCAAACCAAACATGGGGTTAATGTTGTCGGAAATGCATACCCAAGACCTATTAGATGTTTGGACTTATGAATTCTTCTAAAAGATTGGGAAGGACGCTTAGTGTGAACTAAATTAAACAAAGTTACATGTATGCAATGTAGACTATATTAAATGCCACACCCTTGTTAAGGACTTCTAAGCTAAAAGCTAAAAACTAAAAGCTTAATATGATAGATGGTTGTTCAATG